GAAAAAATCGTTGTTCAGGGTTTGTAAGTGAAGAGAAGTCGCACAAGAAGGAGTTGTGCGCAGAAATTAAATCCTTAATCTTCACGAAGCCTAAATTTACTATATCTCTTCTGTACATCGATTTTTTGTCATAACAAAGAAATTTGTTGTTCCAGATAATTTCGTTAATGATTTCCTCGTAACAACTTGGAGTCTTCCCATTAACCTCCGACCACGCATCGAAGCATTCCTTATAATATGCTGGTAGACTGATTTTCAATTTAGAAGTTTGAAAGTTGCAATGCAATACAAAACGTCCTCCGACTGGTAACAGAAGTTTGTCTAGGATTACTTTCCAAGGACTTGAGTAATCCTCCAATAATTTCTTTAAACATGTTATTCGTTTAGCGCAAATCATAGATTGAATGTCCAACATTTTGAGTCCACCCATTTCTATATCAGATATCAATGCAAGACGCTTCACTTTGTCCTTCCCATTCCAAATAAAGTTGTAGAGAACTGAGTTTGCCTCTTTAATTAGTTCTTTAGAGACTGGTATAACCGATGCTCTGAACATAAGCTTTGGGATTGCGAAAGTTTTGACTATCTGTATTCTCCCTAAAAGGGAGAGCCCTCTCCATTTCCATACGTTGATTGATTCCTTTATACTTTTTAAAGTTTGACTAAAGTTAAGGTTGTTCCTTTGTCTATCATCATAACCAAAATATATCCCCAAGATTTTTATGATCTCACAAATACTATGAGTTGGGAAGTCTTTCTCCTGTAGGATATTATCTCCTAGAGGCATGATTTCTGTTTTTTCATCATTCACCTTTAGGCCGGAACACTCTCCAAAAGAGTTGAGAATACGAAACAGATTTGTATAAGATGTTTTGTCTTTTAAGATACAGGTCATATCATCTGCAAATAGAGACAGTTTAATCATTTCTTCTCCAATTTTAAGCCCTTGTACATTGCAGTCCTCTCTTATTTTTATAGCTAAGGTCTCAAGCGCTAGGATGAAGAGGTAAGGGGAGAGTGGATCCCCCTGTCTGACACCTCTACCTAGTAGAAAAGGACCAGTCGTAAATCCATTGTTCATTACACAGCTGGATGCATTTTTATACAGAACACGCATCCACTGAATAAAAGATGGGCCAAAATTGAATTTGTGTAATGTTCTGATTAGAAATCGAAAGTCTAGTGTGTCGAAGGCTTTTTCAAAGTCAATTGCGATCATAAATCCCGACCAACTGTTCCGTTTGGTGTAATCCACAATATCATCAATCGTTCTAATTGCGTCAAATATGGACCTACCTTTAACAAATGCATTCTGACTGGGATGTATTAAATTTGGCAAGACCTTTTCCAGGCGCTTCGCTAAAACTTTAGAAATAATTTTCGCATCGACGTTAATTAGCGATATAGGCCGCCAATTTTTAATTACTCGTTTATCCTTTCCTTTTTTTTCAATTAATGTGATTATAGCCTGTTTTTGTGAGTTTGAAAGTTCTCCAAACTCATAAGAGTAGTTGATGCAATCTACTAGAGGTTTCCCAATCAAAGACCAAAAAGCCAAATAGAATTCTATTGTTAGTCCATCGTTCCCAGGCGTTTTATTTTTTGGAAAGGATTGTAAGACATTAAAACATTCATTATATTCTATCCTTCCTTCACATACCATTCGCAACTCTTCAGTCAAGGTAGGAACTTCCTTTAAGTCATCTAGAAATGACGATGAATGACTATTATTCTCTTTGTAAAGATTGGAGTAAAAGAAATCTAATTCACTCATAATTGTATTAGGATCAACTGCTATTGTTCCGTCGCTTTTTAAAATTTTCCGCAAACAACTTTTATTTTTATTTGATTTTTCCAAATTCAAAAAATATTTGTTGTTCTTTTCACCTTTTTCGTACCACGTTGCACGGGAACGAACAATAGCTCCTTGAGTAATGTAATCATACAGTTGGTCGTATTCTGCCTGTAAGCATTCTAAATCTTCAACATTTTGTCTCGATGGATCATTGTCACACTTTTTGGTACAGTTCTGTAATTTTTCTTCCAGTTCATTAAGTTTAGCTCTCCGGTTCCGAGCTTTTGTTTTGCTATAACTTATAGTGAGCTGTCGAATTTTGTATTTTAGCAAGTCCCATAAGACACGCCTATCAACAACATCCTTAAATTCTTCGAGCCAACTTTTGATGTTTGTGTCAAGGAGATCGCAATAATTAGTATCATTCACTAAAGAACAATTAAACTTCCAAAAGCTTGGACCGCGTTTACTGTCATCTATACCGTTAATCGACAATGTAATTGCAGAGTGATCTGATTTAATAGATGGTATTATGTCAACTGAAACAATGTCGTCCTGCAAAGAATCATTTACCAACCAATAGTCCAAACGTCTCTGAATAATTGGGGTCTTCTGTCTCCACGTAAAGCGTTTCTCCGTCGGATTTCTAACACGCCATATATCTATCAAATCCTGCTCCAAACAAATATCCTCCAGAATTTTGACTGATTCCTTCGTTTTCTTAATACCCCCACTTCCATCAAGATCTTGGTCAAAAATCACATTAAAGTCTCCACCGATAACACAAGAAGAATCCGCAAGTGTGAGCGAGCTTTTAAGCTCCTCTGAAATTTTGTTGAAAAAATCGCACTGCTCGGCACATTTATTTGGTGCATAGATGTTTAGAAGTGCAAATGGAGAATCCTGAATAAGAGCCTCTAGGAGAACGTATCGACCTTGCGAGTCAACCTTTAAGGATTGCAGTCTGAAATCTAGCTGATCTTTAACAAGAATAAGAACGCCTCTACTATGATTAGTTCCATGGGAAAAGAATGTTTTGCCTTTCCACTGTTTTTTCCATTCATTCTCCACTTCTGGGGTGCTATACGTTTCCTGAAGGAAACATATATCGGCAGAAGATTTAAACAGCCAATTAAAAATAGACTTCCTTTTATCAAAAGAGCGAATTCCACGAGCATTTAATGATAAAAGTTTAAAGTTTATGTTTTGGCGCTCCATGTCCGACGAGATAATCTGTAAACTTCAAATGAGAGAAGCCAACGCAAACGGTTCTTTTGAACAACAGGCATAACACGCAAATAACAAAAGAAAACAGAACAATAAGAAAATAACAAACGAAGGCAATCAAACGTAAAACAAAAAGTAAACCTAGATCTAAATAAAGCAAGACAAATATTACAATAACAACTAGAGAACAATACAATACGAAAATAACACGAAAAACAATGACAAAAACTAACAATGGCCACAAAGAACAAACACTACACATACAAATAGAAATAAAATAGCGGCCAGCCAAAGCTGTTATTGCCACCTCTGACTGGCACCTTGCAATCTTGATCTTAATTAATAGCATTCTGGTTTTTGCTCCACAGTTCTTGGCAAAATAATAAAAACACAACTAGAAAATATATGCGGCCTAAATGATTTTTCGAATGTTCTTACATCTCAACACCGTCAATAAACAATTTATCTGGCTCCGCTCTACTGAAAAAAGCGGTCTTACCGTCCTTTTTCGCTTGTTTAAATTGCTTCATCTTCTTCTTTCTTCTTTCCAAAATTTCACTTGGAAGGTCCGGCGAAATTCCAAAGTTTTTTCCTTTTAGCTTTCTAGCATTGGACATAACTTCTTCTCTTTGAGGATATTTCAAAAAACGTGCGATTATTTGTCGAGGTTTACCACTGGAAGAAACACGCTTTCCAACACGATGGACCCTTTGGAATTCGATTTGGTCTGCATTTTCCATACCAAGCTCTGTTTTAAGGAATCCAACCAAAACCTCTCTCGCATCCTCCTCCATATCGGCTTCTTCTTTAATTCCGAAAAAACGAAGATTTTCCCGCCGCTGATAAACTTCCATGTATAGTTTCTCGTCCCGGAGCTGATTAATTTCGCATTTCAGCTTGTCAAATTTCTCCTTGAAAGACTCGCGTTCCGTGTTCGCAAAATCCAATCCGTCTTCCAGTTCTTTGATCTTTTTTTCTGTTTTGTTTTTGAAAGCCTCGAAACAATCCACCTTTGCCTGCAAATTACTAACTTTTTCATCAACTGCTTTTACATACCGTTCCAAATTCTCAAGTTTTTCCAACACTTGTTCAAGTTTCGGGATAACTTCCCCCGCCATATTCAGTATAGATAACACTTCGTCCGATTCACACAGTTCGGAATCTGAGAGCGAAGCGTCGTGTCTTAACTTTTTGCCATCTGGGGAAAGATTATCGTCTGTGGAAGATGCTGAAGAGCTTTTCCTCGATTTTCGTTTAACAGTTTCGGCCATACAACATTGCCAAGCAAGGAGCAAAATCGCACACGTCTACTCCGACATCTTGCCTCGACCCAGTCTCCGGTCGGATGATATATTTAGACCTAGTGTCCACTGTTAAGTTGTTAGTTGTCCGGTCGGATGATATATTTAGACCTAACAACTTAACAGTGGACACTACCTCTATTGCTTTCCCGTTGATAACAATGGGAGCAAAGTCCGCGGCTGATTTAGCGAACGAAATTCGTAGTTCCTTACACTTCAACTCGTTTAGCTGGAACTTGCTTTGGTTAGAGTTACTAATCAGTTCCTCCACATCAGATTGGATACGGCTGTCTTCCTTACTGTCAACACACTCTGCAATAGTTGTGTCATCCACGTATTTCCACAGTTCTGTGTTACTGGTGTTGATGTCATCAATCATGAGAATAAACAGCCACAGCCCGAGCTTGGTTCCCTGGGGCACCCCTGCCGGTACGTTTCTCCATTCAGACAAGCAATCTTCTCTCAATTTAACTCTCTGCGTGCGATCTGTAAGGAAATCGATGATCCAAAACGATATGCCAACCGGCATGTCCAGGGCCAGCAACTTCCTAGCGAGAAGCGCGTGGTCTATCAAATCGGAAGGCTTCCGGTAATCGAATAAGACGACCCTGACGGTGGATCCTGTACCATCAGTGTGTTTGGTCCAGGAGTGCACCATACTGATTAGCGCATAGATATTATCATATACTGATCTTCTAAAGGAGTGTAATAAAGTAGAATTGAACCTATCTGATGAAGATATTAAGTCAATCGAAAGGGAAACCGTGGATCAGGCCAAAGGGAGTGCTTTTTTTAGACACAGGGCTGGAAGAGGAGGGGCTTCCAAATGCCTTGCAGCCAGTCATGCAGATCCTTCACAGCCCTCCCAGTCTCTGATCAAAGCTATTTGTTATCCAGATATTTTTCGCCTTTCCACAGCAGCCACAAGATGTGGATGCAAACATGAGGATATTGCCATCGCAGAGTATGAAAAAACAATGCGAAAAACTCATGCTAACTTTGTTATGACTAAATGTGGAACAATTATAAACAAGAAGTACCAATTTTTACATACCACTCCAGATTTCCTCTGTGAATGTGATTGCTGTGGACAGGGATGTGGCGAAGTCAAGTGCCTCTACTGCATAGATGGAGTTGACTTTGACAGCTATGTGCAAAAGAAATCTTCCTGTTTGCAGAAAAATGAATCTTGTTTCCAACTCAAAAGAGATCATGACTATTATTACCAAGCACAACAGCAAATCAATACAAGTGGGAGAGGATATCTAGATTTTATTGTGTTCGCCTCAGATGGGCAAACATCGAAATTTTTCTTGGAAAGACTTGCTCCAGACATGAAACACTGGGAAACACAAATTCACAAACTAGAGACTTTCTGGAGAATTTGCATATTACCCGAAATATTGGGAAGATGGTATACCCGAAAGATGGATTTAAAAGCCCAGCTTTCCCCAGAAGAAGTCGCAAAACCTGGTGACTGTTACTGCAGGGAAACAACTAGTGAAGCACCAATAACATGTGCCAACCACACATGCAAAATATCCAGATTTCATGCTGTTTGGGTATCAAGAATGTAACAGTTCCAAAAATGTGGTACTGCCCTCACTGTAGAAAGTTGCCTCAATTTACAAGGGCAAAAAGCAAGAAATTGCCTGAAATGAAGGATCAATTCCTAAGTGAGGCAACAAAACTTGCAACTATCTGCACATGTCAAAAAAAAGCACAGGCAAATGATAAACTGCTGAAATGTCATAATGAACAGCGCTCAAATGGTAAATTTTTTCATCTGTCATGCATGTCTTACAAACGTTATCCAAGCAATGCAAGAACAACCTGGCTTTGCTATAACTGCAAGATTACAGCACCTAAAAGTAGACCATCAACACCAGCTCAAGGGGATTCTGGTTTGGTAGGAGAACCAGCTGGAACACCCGATAGTGTAATGTCAGCCCCCATTATTAATGATTCAAGCTCCCAAAGTGATAATGATTTGAAGGCAGCTTCACGGGCACACCAATCAACATCGGTGCAAACACCCCGCAGGATAGTGATGAGGAAGGAGAATCATCCCCAAATCCTGACCCAGATGTTTTGTTTGTCAAAGAAACTGTCAACACAAATGTTAATAAGACGGGTTCACCAGGGAATCTGACCGAAAGAGAATTTGCATTGATGGAGGATACACATGGCTGGTTAGACTGTTCTATAATCCACCAGGCACAAATCCACCTTAAACAGTTAAGTCCGAACATTGAAGGATTTCAAAGGCCAACACTTGGTCCAATAAGAGCCTTTGACATTATCAGTGGTGAATTCATACAGATTTTGAACACTGGAGGTAACCACTGGGTATGTTCAAGTTCCATTGGCTGCTCATGTGGCCATGTTAATTTATATGACAGTTTTTTTCATGATGTTGTCTGTGACGACATTGAGGAACAGGCAAGAAGTCTACTCGGACAGGAATTCAGGGGAATTAATGTTGTCCCTCTTCAGCAGCAACTAAATGGATCTGACCGTGGGGTATTTGCTATAGCATTTGCTATGAGCCTTGTTTTTATGCAAGACCCCTTGAGTATTCAATTTAATATCCTGAAGATGCGTCTTCACCTTTCAAGCTTGGTCACCTGGGCCAGGTTGTTCGAAGCTGTGTTAACATAACCCAGGTTTAGTGCGAAATTTGAACGCAGACGTGAAAGCTTAGAAAGTAAATTCAGTTTAATTCTTTTTGTCAACAAGTTGATGATTGGATGCCCTTGAAAATAACAGAGAAAATTATCTGACAAAATCCTTTTGAACAAAAGAAAAAGAAACCAGGGTTAGAATTTAACCCCAGGTTAGCGCTAACTGGCGTTCGGCCCTGAAACTCATCTTGCTTGAATGGATTTGCAGCTGACTCCCCACAGAGCCGCAGTGTTTTTAATCACCCTCTTTTCATTCATATTACTTTTCAGGCTTAAGTAACAACAACTACACTTTTAACAAGCTTGCTACACTTCTTGGCTATGTATTTAGGTGTACCGTAAATGGACTGGTGCTCAGGCAAGATGTATGGCTAATTCGGACAACTTAACGAGTTATTACCCATTAAAGAAATCAATCAAAACTCACAATAGGAGGACAGAGGTTAACAAGGGCAGCACAAACTCGAATTATCTTGTCAATCAGTGGGGCTTTGCTCTTGTCCTCACATGCTAAGTAGTCAGTTGACAGAGTACTTTGTAAGATTGTGTACTTTTGTCTCAGAATTCCAATAACTCTCTCCACATGAATTCTGACATTGGCGATTTTACGTGTCTTTTCTACATCGACTGGATCCAGCTGTTCTTTGCCCCTGGTAAATGCAGGGACGTTCAGTTCTGCCTGGTGAAACCACACCTGCTCGTGGACAGTGAAACCTCTGTCTGCAAGGACAAGATCCCCAGAAAGTAAATTTTTTAAAAAGCCACAGTTCTCTGTAAGAAATTTGTCTGATGTGCACTCCCCCAGGCATCGCTTACAAATGATATTGTTCCTTGTGGTGTTATCCCAATCAACACTTTCGCAGTGTTATGGTGTTTGTAGTTCGAAAAAGTCTGTGCTCTTGCTAAAAGATTGGATGGCCTATCAATAAATATCTCGAAACAGTCAATGATCACACTTGTCTTTAGACCAAAAGAATCAATGAAACATTTTGGCATTGTTCTTTGAAGCTCTTCACGACTTGGCCAGGAAATTAAAGGAGATAAACGAACATCCATGACAGTTAACCAGGTGACAATAATGCGAGAAACAACAGTTCTAGAAACATCAAAATGATAAAAAGATAAAGATATAAAGATCTTGGTGTGGGACGGCCAGCCGAAGTTTTATCAACACCAGAACAAACTCCTGAAATTTACTCAATGACAGGGAGTGTCTGTTGACATGTGGAGATACAAAGGAGAATGTTTCCATTAAAACTTCCCTCGAGGGTAACCCAGCGTAAAAGCAAACTTTACCGTCATCTCCCTCAAAAAATTCCTGTTTAAATACAGTGGATTTTTCTGGCATCCAAGGTTTAGGCTTTCGAAACATGTAATCACTTTGCTCAGTTTGCGTTGACCGTGATTGCGTGAGTTTGCTTGGCTCAGTTTGCATGGCCATGTTGTTCCCCTCTTCCTCCTCATCTGGAACCTCTGCCAAATCTTCTCCATCTTGAACCGCGAAAGTAATATCCCTAATTCTATTGCCATGGGCTTCTGATTCATCTTCCCTAGACATTTTTTCTTTAACAGCCTGATCCTGTTCTTCACGCTCCCTCTTGAGTTTACGTCTTTCTCTTATTCTCTGGGCTCTTTCTTGTTGTTTCTCTTGTTGGTCTGAACTCTTTAACTTGCTGTGGCCCAAATGCAAGCTAGGCACCCGTCTAGATTGAATTTATCCCAGGGGGAAGGTACTTTTCCAGAGTGAAAATGAATTCCACAAACATGGTCGTTTTTCAAGCTTGCTTTCTGTCAAGTCATCACGACTTATGGCCGCTAACCATCTATTTCGCCGTTCATTCGACAAAGTTTCCGTCTGCTCGCCTTGACAAGTAAAAACTTTAGGCACCCTACAAAAACTAAGGTTTGGACGTCTCTTTTTATCGTAGGAACATCCAATGATCAGACAAAACGAAGGCATCGCTAGAAGACGCGAGGAGTCATGTGACAGATTTCACTCCTCCAATATGGCGTATGTTTTCACCTACGTCATAGTCATGTGACCGCACAGACACTATAATAGTTGTCCTGTTTCCTAATGTCCTTTGGTAAAATGTTCCAGATTCTAGGGGCGGCTTCTTTGAAAGTCCTGTCTCCAAGTGTCTTCTTTGATCATGCACTATAATCCTCGAGTAACATCTCCCCGTCTGATCTAAGATTATATCTGGTGGTACTCCTAACTTTTATTTGATCCTGAAGGTATTTGGGTGCATTGCCATAGATACACTTATGGGCAAGCATTGCTATCTTAAAATTTACCCTATATGTTACTGGAAGGCTCTGCATCCACAGTCGTTGGGGGGTTGGCTCCATGGATTTTATCCATGGTCTTCTGATCTCCGAAGATGACCTCGATCATGACGATAATGCCGACTGTTTTGCTAACCAATAATTTTTACTAATATATTTTTAGAAGCTACAGTGAAAGGCTGTTCTTCTCATCTTAGAAGATCTGAGTGGATAATACGAATAACTGTTTTTGTGGGAAATGATATTACCTTTGTTGAGCACTTCCTTATAGTCTTAGACTTGTGTCAAACATCTGAACTGTGGAACACTCTTTGAAACTCATCAGCTACAAGAAAAACTGAAAAACGTTTTTTCATTTCTGGTTAGAATGGAAAAGAGTCAGTGTAAGAGCCATTAAGTTATACCAAGTATAAGGCAAGAAGTTCATGCGTCTTTCTTTTTTTTGTGCATGGATACGCAGTAAAAACACCAAAATAAGGAACAAAATTCTAGCATATAAATAAAGCAATATTGATACACCTGTTTAATTATTGCTTGCAATATCTTGCCAATCAACTTTTTCTTCGTCGAAGATGCATCAGTAAGAAATTTCAAGAAATTTCAAATTTCGTCACTGAAGGGCACTACGCAGGGCATTCTTTTCCATGTTTACTGATACAAAATTGACAAAGTATTTGTCATTCACTTCAACTTCCAGGATGTAACTTGGCTATCACCACAGACTAACTTCTTTACCCAAACATTCTTCGAGAATTTGCTCCCTCTGCCATGACCACGTCGTTTACAACAGGTATTAGGTACAATCTCTGCACTCTGAAGAATGTGGCGTCTGAAAGAAGAACAGACCCATAAATCTTGTTGTTTTTTGAACTTTGTTCCCTTATAGCTGGTTCTATCGCATATCCATGCTACAGACGACTTAGAGATGCCACATTTCCGTGGAATTTCACGGAGCGATAGCCCCGTATTTTCTTTAAGAAACCAAACTCTGGCCCATTGTTGGGCGGAAATGTTTCCGGTATGCACCATTACATACTGTGAAACCATTTGCTCCTGTAACCACTTGACTGTTAATCTCGTTTATTCTTTAAAATATTGTACGCGAGACTAGCAATAAAGCAGGTGTTAAGTCAGTTTCAACAGTTTTCGTACTCTTCAGCACACTTGCACATAGCTGTACATCTTAGGTTAACCTTCTGACAGCCACAGCCTCCTCTACAACGCTTCTTACAGCCGCACTTTACTAGCTCTTGGCATGACTTTGTGATTTCTGACAGTGTTGTCCAAAAGGCCACCACTCGCCACTTTCCGATATCCATCCCCAATCTTGTGGGCTAGGAATAGGTGGGTTTGGCATGAGGGCTTGTCCCCAGATGTGGCCAGCCTGGTATGCAGTACGCTTGACATGTTTGGTAATGAATCTTGCGTTGGAGGAGGGGTGTCAAAATTTCGAGCCTTACGGGTAAACAACTGCTTTCTGGTGTCATTTACAGATGAAGACCTGCTTGTTCTTTCATATAGTAAAACGGCAAAGCATTCAGGGGTTGACACCCACCCTTCGGCTATTTCTGTTTGAGCTCTGGACAAGGCGATAAACACAGGGGTGACTTCTGGAAAACTCTTCCAGGCGTCCAGCGGGGTCTTCTTGTTTTGCCCATAGAAACAGGACACCGTATTGCATCCTGCGAATGTGTGGAATGCAGGTAGGGCAAGTGCAGCGTTGTTAGTAAATGTGTTGGCAATCTCGTGGGCTGCAAGATAGCGAAGATGTTCCCCAGTACCAAATGCTACCCAGAGTTGGATGCTCTCTGAAGCAAGCGCCTGTAACTTCTGTACCAGAGCCTCGGCCAGTACTGATCTTGGTGAAGCTGGATTGGATAGCATCCGCAGTATGGAGAAACATTCTTGTGTCAGCTTCTTCATGGATGGTGCCAGGCTAGAGGTCTCATCTCGTGGAAGGCTCATCAGTACGCCTCTTGCATACGTAGAGATCTGTCTCTGACCCGAGTTAACAGAAGTAGCGCATTGTGCAAGGAATCTAAAGAGCTCCTGCTTGTTCTGATCTTCATGAAGGAATTCTTTCCAGTTTCTTGGAAGCTTATAATTAGCTGCGATTAGTCGTACTCCAGATCCACGTTTGCTGCGAGTTGTTGCTTTCAGGCTGTTCTCCACCTATTCGTCCCAGACAATATCAATGCGTTTCACATGTTGAAGCTGAGCAGTGACATAAGGAATAAACTTATTTGAGGCATATTCGGAAAATGTTTTTTCTTTCCCTGTGGGGTTAAGCAAGTTTACCAGTGCTGCTCCGTCCATACTAATGACTTAACAATTGGCTGGGACTACATTCTTGGGAGTAGTTAAAGCTTGAAGACAAGAGGCTAACTGTTTTTGATCTAACAATTTAGCAGGAATGAGTGTCTTTTTCAAAAAGGAAAATAAAGTAGTTTCTAAAGATATGAGTACTGAAAAAATGGCAGAATATTGGTATCAATCAATCAGTCATACCGGATACAATTGAGGGAAATGTTTTCCTGAGGCTCCCAAGCTGATTCGTATGGAGAGTAACCTCTCCATAAAACTTAGTATTCAGGAGAACCCTGTTATCTAAAAATATAAAAGCAAAACGCCCAAACGTTAAAATGAAATCATCCTTTCTTCTCCTTCTCTTTTGAAAGTAGCTTATATAGCTATAGCCGGTTAATTTCCATAAAATAACTGGGGTTTCGATGTCGCATGCAGCAATAAAAGCTTACGGTTCCAAAGCTTTGGCCGATTAACAAGGCTTAAGTTTACACGAATGAAAGAATTCAACTTACCGTGGCGTTTTCCCTTCGAGCAATGAGTCGCTCCACTTCCCACAACCTTCCTATTCCTTTCCGCTTGCTTTTTTACATCTGCGGAAGTACACCAATGCTTGATACGTTATTTAAAGTGGCGTAAAAACCCTTCTCTTTTCTCTCTCTAGCTGCCATTTTGATTCACAACTGAAAGAATGTACCCGAGCTGGTACACGGGCTGAACCAATCAGATATCACGAAAAACAAAAGCATGATAGACAGCTTATATGATATGGTCAAGTATGTTGGGAAAAGCATCACCCAACATGATTCAACTTTTCTGGCAATGGTGATAGCGGGCCCTGCAGCCGCAATGCTGTCGCCTTCATCTAGTCGCGATACGTTTACGTCCTTGGGCATGCAAACTGTTTTAAATTGTCTGCAAGTGTTTGATAGCCTGCACCTTTATCTGCTCGCCATGAGTCTGCGGGGCACTGAAGTCCTTCCTTGTTTGAATCCTGGCAGATAACGCACAGCTCCCAATCGGTCGCATTGCGATTACAGTCGTCCATGAGGTTGTTTGCAACAAAATAAAGGTTTTTAAATTAGACAAAACTAATCCTTTCACCACTTTACCAGTACTTATAGTTCACCTGTAGTCAGTCTCATTTTAAATTCCTTACCAAGCTGGAACAATAATGTTAAAGTCCCTGGTTTGGTTGCGTATTCGTTATTAAAAAAAAGTAACACTTTTCCAATTCTGAATTGAATGTTTTTGGATTAACTGATGACTAAAATTTATATTAAACTCCATAGAATAATCTTAATATGCAATCTAACTGTTCATTTTTACCTTAAGAGAAAGAAGCCAGTAATCTCCTTTCTGGCACCCGATAAAATTTGCCTCTTTGAATACTTGTGGCTGCTCTTGCAGCTGATAATCAGCCTTTAAATGTGATGCTAGCAACCGAACACTTGTTGACGTCACTTTCTCTCCAAGCATAAACGTGCCTCCCCCAAAACTACTACGTAATGCATCGATAAATCGTTGCTTGGAATCGAAAACACCAACATTTAACACGACGGTCCTGGAAGCATAAGCCCGTTAATTACGGAATGTTGAATCATGAAGTAACTGACTTGTGCGTGTGTGGCATTTCAAGAAATCAAAAACATTACACTTCTAATCTGTGCACCACTGGCACCACAAGACTTATATAGTTTGTCATTACTTTCAAAATAATCTTGGAGTATGCGTATAATTGTTTGGGGCACCAAACCACAAAACCTTCAATCCTTTAATAATATTAATATATTAACTAGCAAGTATACACCTGGCACATTTCTCGATAGCCTTGCAAGGGTTGTGTTTCTAGTTGTCGTCACTCGACTCTCACAACCAGCAATTTTTAGTCCATGCACGTGGGAAAAGTAAATTGTGTTGTCTCACATTTCAATTTAAAAACAAAGTACCTTATGTGTGCCTGGAACAGCTGGGAAGCTGACTACTATCTTTTTACCCTGTGGGGACTTAACACTACTGTAAAAAGTAGATTGAGTTTGATTGTCCGGGTGAACGTAGTCCTGAATAGGATTGTTGTTGTTGACAGTGACTCCGTTCAGGACTACGTTCACCCAGACGATCAAACTCTATCTACTTTTGAAATGACTCCTGGGTTCAAACCTTTCACAGCAATTACTATCAATAGTTTGTGCTATCAATCTTGTTAAAAAAAAAATCAGCCGAAGTCAGAAGTCGAGAACTAATCAGTCAGATTTGAGAACTAATCTGCTATTTATGACCAAACAAAGCAACGCATAAAACATGTGATTGACAGCTAATTAATTCTGACAACCACAATTTTTGCAGTCTGGAAAAGACTGGGAAAAAAAAAAGATCCAAACAATGGGCCTGCGCGCTGCAAGTGCTACAGACGTTCCGAAATTTAATTCAAAATGGAGCAACTCTATGGAAAAATTTGCCTTATTGCAGGAATAGCGTTATTACAGAAATACTGAATCTGGAATAAATTTATCAGCCGATTTTTCCCTGAAATAATAGTTACCCCTGATACATTAGCTGTGATTACACTACAGACTTTTACCTAGGTAAAACAGATTTACCTAGGGCAGATTCATTAAAAATTCCCAAGGTAAATTCGCCTCGGTTTTCTTTACCTGGGTAAAAAGTTCTGGGAAGGTCACACTACTGATATCAGCTCCCAAGGTTTTAACGCACAGTTGAATATTTTGACGCGTGAATCGTGAATTCAAGAAAGCAAGATTCTCAGGGATCTAGCCGATCAAAGAGACGTTTTTTCTTTATAATTATCATTAAGACAGGGAAAGACGTAGACGACTGGTGCCCAAATTAAGAAATGGTAAACGTGCAGCGTGCAACCATGGAGTTATGGATGCACCCGGGAGGTTGCTAAGCACGAAAGAAGCGTAAGACTCTAGCTTCTTGAGTGCTTAGCAAACCTCCCAAGAGCATCCATAACTCCATGGTTGCACAGCTGCAACGTTTACCATTTCTTTTATAACATAATCAAAAGAGAAAAACATTTTCCATTTGCCTTCGGTTGACTCATCGGTCCAAGTTGATGTATGCTGCCATCTGCCCGTGCGTAAACAAATCATGTTCTGTTTTTCAAAAACTTGCCTTTGAGTTTTTCTTTCGCTCAATCAACCGTTCACCGTCTTCAGGTAAACTGCAAAACGTTTTTTGTTGTTATTCTGAATGGCATCTGTCTACTTGATCTTAATATTAGGGTAAAAACTTTGAAGGAAAACTATAGCTGCAAGTATAAACACCAACTAAAAAGACTCTAACAAATAAGCTAAAACTAAATAAATGAAATAATTATCAAGCTTATTTATGTGACAATTTTTGAAATAAACATAAAGTAGAAATGAGAAAATTTGACTGTAATTCCTTTAGTATAACAAGTAGCACTATTTTTAAAAGAAATTAACAAGCTTTGTATCGAAATCTGTCTGGGGAAATCCTGCTATGAAAGTCAAAGTTGCAACTGAAATTCGCCAACACACAGCTGGCGCTGAAACGGTTGTTTTTCGACCATTCTCTGAACGACTGTTATGAATGAACACTGAGGAACAAAATAATACACACAGAAGTTATTTTTTGAAAAATTTATTTGAAAACCCAGGTGTTTTTGTACTCAAATGAAATTCGCTTATTCCAGTGTAATGTGTCCGTTTAAATTCAACTAAAATTTGTAATCGATGCGATGAAAACTTCACAACAAAGCTGTCTCGAATTTGAGCGTGTTTCCTAAAATATTTGCTTGAATTTAGCATCAGCTTGACCAAAAAGTCAATAACACAATGCTAATTGATAAATTTACATTTCAAACAGACTTTCTCTTCTACAAAAAACACAAAATGTACCTTGAATCTTCGCTCGCTTGATTTTCCTTCAGCCGATTCTAGCCGCGCGGTAAACAGTGATTAATTCGTCCAGGGCAAACTTGTTGCTTGATCTTTTGTCTTTTTTCCTTCAAAACGACAGCTTAGTATTTTCTTCAACTTCAACTTTTCATCTGTCCATTTCATCAGTGTATTTTACCGTCAGGAGAGGAGATTTGTTGAATTTGCCTAAGTTTTACCGCGCCAGCTCAGCTTCTTGGGGTGCACCCACGGGCTAATGGTAGTGGCTAACTGACCAATCAGAGCGCGCGATTTGCTTTTGTTCTGTTATAAAAGAGTTTTTCACAGCGTGAGCTATGTCCGGTTCTGTCATCAAGACCTTCGCCGATGAGCGGCTATTGGCTATCGCTTTGGGGTAGCTGTCAAGGGAAACTCTGTTGTTCTCGAGACATATTCAAGCCCCGCAGAATAAATTTTCCCCGAGGTAAGTTACCTAGGGAAAAATCAGTCACATAAAAAATCAAGTTTCCCTAGGTAAACTGTCAACAAGTCGAGTCTACCTAGGTAAAAAGTCTGTAGTTTGACCACAACTCACCTTTGTCGTGAGACAAAGGTTTAAGCTCAATATATAGACACACGTACTTGGCCGCTGGCTTAAATAAATCTAGTGCCGCACGATATTTGCGCACTATTTTGCTACCTGAACCAGATCAAGAATGCCTGTAGCAAAATCCAATCACTCAAAAAGAAAATTTCATCAATACAAAGAGGCACTGTAGAACACGTGCTTGAGATCCTGTCCAACACACAGTATAAAAATCACACATCATACATAATATCAACATAAAAGCTTTACCTTGATTCCAGCTTTCCTCGAATGATTGTTGAGCAAACACAAACCCACTGCCCTGCTTCCTTGACACTCGAGTTTATCTCGCCCACAACTTTCAACGTAAAGTCTCCAAATAGGCATAAGCCGCCGGAACCAAAATAGGTTTTACCATCGTGAGTAATGAACTGGATTTCGCCTGAGATACCCTGAAAGTCAAGGAATTAAACTGAGAATTTCACAGAAAAACAACGGGAATACTAAAGCTCTGCGCAATCACCCGGGGTCAGTAGGCTCAGTAACTATCTTAGCTTAGC